GAAGGGGGAGTGGACAGATTTAAAGTGTATGGTGCATTCATTGTGTATGTGTGTATGTATGTGGGTGTGTGAATGCGTGTCGGTGGAGTGAATGAATGAGATGGATGAGAGTGTATTTGATGGTTGGTCAACTGGCTAGGAGTCCGGTCTGTACTCGCTTTTTATGTCATTCTCTTTTGCATTATCGATTGATTCATCGACTGACTCGTCGTCACGTCACATCCGTCCGTGCGTATCGATCACGCATACATGCATACATGCATACATACATCCATACGTGAGTCCGCTATTTCCTTCGCTCTCTCTGGCTGGATGGGGTCGGCCGGATTTACAGAAATGCATTTTTTTCAACCCAGTATTGATTGGCGGGACTGAGTCCGTTCTTCTTATGCCTGCCTGCCGGCCGCTTCTCCGTCCGTCGCTCTGTCCGTCTGTATGTCTGTCAGGCAGCCCGCTCGCTTGTCGTTGTGTCCCTCCAGAGCATTTGTGACGATCGATCGAATCGAGAGAAGGGGGACACGAGTTGTGCATGGGGTATGGTATGGCGATGGAAGAGAGGCCGCGCTCACCACGCTTTATGGATGGATGGATGGATGGACGGGCACAGGATAGGATGCACATGTACGTGAGTCCCGTACGTACAAAGTAGTAGTGCCCTCCTGCCTGTCTGCCGCTCGATCCCTCCCTCTCTCCCTCATCGCGTGATGTGATCCATCCATCCATTGGTCTGTCTATGCATCCACCCCTTTTGTCACAAGCTTGGTACGGCCAGCCGGCATGCAGAGAGTGGGTGAGGGAGTGTTTTGTGTGATTTTCTCTCTGATGTCATGCAGTGTGTCTGCATCAACGAATGCACGCCCGCCTCGCCCGCCCGCCCGCCCGCTCGCTCGCTCACCCACTTTTGTCTGACTGACAGTGCGATATATGCAATCGATATACGTAACGTAGCCACGTGCATCCACCCCATATATACCGACGTGCATGGCAGACAGCCGTCGCACTGCTCACGACTGACTGACACACATGCGTACACTGCCTGCAGTAGAGTGAGTGCCGGCCAGGCGGACGGGCAGTCGGGGCGGGCAGACACCCGCTCATTTGCTGGTTGATTGGTTTGCAGTGGTGCTTGAGAGGGAGGCAGGCAGGCAGGCATATGCATGGCATGCATCAGACCGACAGGCACTGGTTGTGCTCATACTCACTGTCTGTCTATCGACCGATCGATGTCTATCCATCCATCCATCCATCCATCGATGTCGATCATCGCGTCATTCATCATGTCAGTCATTCTGTCGGTCAGTGCGCTCGCTGCAGTCACCGTTTGTCAGTGGGTGAGTGATGATGAGTGAGAGAGCATTCATTCAATCACATGATGACTCATTTGTATGAATGTTTGTCTGCAAGTGACTTGCTTTCGTCCGTGTGAATGAATGCAGTTCGTCACACACACATCACATCCGCAACAGAGCCTGCCTTGAGCTCGCATACGCCGCGACGAAGCGCATTCTGCGTGTGCCTGTTGCCTGTTTGGTGTGTGCACTGGACAAAGGATGCCTGTCTAGGGGTGTCCCGTCAAACCCTTAACCGACGACCGACTGCAGTGCTTTCCTTGTCCTCCCTCACAATGGCTGAGGGTTCGTTGCTGAGCATGCCGATGCTGATTCTGAACATGGGAGGCGAGATGATCTATGTGCTGGACCAGCGCCTCAGGGCGCAGAGCATCCCACTCGCCAAGAGCCAGAAGGTGCTCGCGGACGTCATCAAGACCATGCACTTCGGCAAATTCATCATGGTGGGTCAGTTCGCGACTCATGAATGACATGACATCGAGGCCACGATTGCTCTCGTGCGTGTTGTGTGTGTAGGAGCTGTTCAAGCCTCAGGAGCCGTACTCATCGGCCTCGCTTCGGCAGATCTTCGACAAGCTGGCGCACAGCAGCATAATGCGGCTCAACGAGAGCTCGATGGACAAGCTTGTCGACCTCATGGCGATGGGCTTCAAGTACCAGCTCGTCTACTGCTCCTTCCCAGAGGAGCTCTTGGAGGTCACCATCAACCACCTAGAGGCATCCAAGGCACTCGTCAAGAGCCCCATCGTGGCCAACATGATCGACGTCACCATCTCCCTCTGCCACACGGCATACGACCGCCTCACACCCGCCGAATTCGCCCTTCTGCGCCAGACGCTCGCGGCGGTCTTCCAGGACCGGCGCGTCAAGGTGTCGATATTCCTGCAGGACGGCCTGCAGAGCGCCGACGGGGCCATTTGCGTGCCGGTGGGCGGCCCGCTGGCCTATGGGGCGGAGAGGCCGGGAGTGGTCAAGTACATTGACAAGGGCGTGGTGCATCGCACGGTGGTCTTGGACCCCGCCCCGGTTAAGAGCGACGAGTGGCTGCCGCCCACAGCGCCCTCGCGGCTCAGCGCTGTGCGATGGTCCAAACTCGGCCTCAACCTATACGCCAAGGTGACGATAGAAAAGCCAATGTATCCATCACATCAGCACATGCCTGTGCGGTGTGTGCGTTGATTTCTTTGCTCAGGAGAGGCCGTCAGCACACCCCAAGCCCGCAGCGGCCGCCAATACCCAGACTGCCCCAGCTGCCCGCGATGATCAGACGGCCGGCACGGCAGCGGCCAAACCACCGGTGGGTGAGGGAGACCAACAGGACGGCACAGATCAACATATATCGTTCATCTGTGTGGTTCATGCCCTGTGTGGCAGGTGTCGCCGGAGGTGAGCAGCCGGGCGGTCTTGGGTGAGTTGAACCACTTGGCCTCTCTGCTGGGCCAATCAGCGGCCTCCGACAGCACGGCCGACAACTTCTCCCTCAACCTATTCGCTGACAGAGGTCAGAGGCACACAGAGGCACACAGCCACAACGAACACAGCAGAAAGAATCATGGCGTCCGCTACAAACACACACGAATTCTCCGTGAGCAGATCCGTTTAGCATCAGCTCGCCGCACTCACAGCTGTCGTCCGAGAGAGGCGCGCCGCATGTCGTGATGGACGCCAGGTCGCCGCACGGCCACCGAGGCCAACAGGTCAGTCAGCTAAATGATATATGAGCAAATGAAATAAATGATCGACATACATGGTGTGTGTATCTGTTGGTGTCAGGTCGAGGCGTTGCGGCAGCGTCTGGATCGTGACTTCGCATTGGCGGATGGTGGGCCAGGCTCCTCTGGCCAGGGCAAGAAGGATGAAGACGACCTGCTCGATTTGATGGACGCGGCAACGAGCAAGGGCTGACTGACTGACGGACGGACGTGCCCGCGCGAATAGTGTGTGTGAATAGTGTGCGTGTGGCACGGCTGCCTAGAGTGAAATAGTGTGCAGACTGCTGGGACGGATAGACACATCTATCCATCTTATGAGTGCGATGTCCAAGGGTTGTTCACATCACCATCCATCCATCCATCCATCCATTCGTCCATTCGTCCTTCATCCATACGTATGTGTATGTGTATGTGTATAGGAACAACATAGTCTCATGGGGTCCGTCCAGCCCACGGCGGATCGGTATCAGCAGCTCGCCTGGGTCTTGAGGCTGCCCTTCTTGGCCTTCTTGGCCGGCCGCACCTCCGCAGCCTCAGCCTCACCCGCGGCCACCAACTCGCTCACGTCCACCTCCACCGGCACGGCCAATTGGTCGCTCTGCGGCCTCTCTTTCTTTTTCCTTTTTTTGTGCTTGCTGGGGACAGGCAAGGCGGATGCGTCCTCATTGTCACCGTCATCATCGGCCTTGTGCTGGTGATATCCCTCCCATCCGTCCCAGTCTTGCGACTCGTCGGCAGCAGCTGCGGCGGCCTTTGCACCTTTCCTCTTCTTGCGCTTGCGCTTGGCGCCCCTGCGTTTGTATATGCAGGCAATGAACACCCATGATGGCCGTTATTTGCTCCTGTGCTGTCTTGTCTGGCTCGCTGACCCGTTGTCTTCAGGTAGTTCTGGTGGTTGGATCTCTTCCTCCCAGCCGTCGCCATAGCCACCCCACCCATCGTCCGGCTGCTGCTCGAAAACCTGCTCGTCATCCAGCACCGCCTCGCTCTGCCGCTTCCTTTTGTCCTTCTTTTTCTTGGTCTTCTTGCCCACGGCCTCCTGCTGCCCCTCCCCCTCGTCCTCTTGCTCATGGATGCCATAATGGTCCGCAATGGCGGGAGGAGGGGGAGGGGCGTCCTCCCCTTCCTCGCCGTCCATGACTCCCGGCAGCATCTTGTCTGAGCTCTCCTGCATGGCCATGACCGCCTCAGTGTCGGCATCAGCGTGTCCGTCGCAGTCGAGATGGGAGTGGAGGAAGTGCACCTGGGCCGCCGGGGGAGAGCGGGACAGGTGACTGGACGACAGCATGCCCTGCATCTTTTTCGTCTGGAGCTTCCTCTGAGAATAGCAGACAAAGACAGACAGCACACACGGCATCGCACTGAGTGAGTGAGTGAGTGAGTGTGGGAATGTGCGCGGCTCCTGTTTTGTATGGCTTACGAGGAAGAACCGTTTGGAGTCGATTTGAGGCCAGAATGGCAGGGCATTCTTCCAGTCGACTGAGTCCACAGCGGCCCTCCAGGCAGCCTCACCGCCTCCTTCCTTGCCACCTGGGCCCTCCCCCGTCTCCTCCGCACCTTGATCATCTTCCTCAAACGTCAGAATCTCGGGCCCCTGGCCGCACGCCGTGAAATAGCTGCTCAGGTAACGAAGCAACTGACGAAACAACAACTGACAGACAGACAGACAGACAGACAGAGGACCGACAAGGTGATCAATCCGTCGCCGAGTGAGTGTGGTGGTTCGTTGCCGCTGGTTCACCGACCATTCTGAAGCCCTCCGGCATCTTCCTGCGCGCCCTTCTTTTCCGGAGGGGCGTCACCGATGTGCCGTTGGGCTGGTTCTCGGGGGCGAAGGCCTGCTTGCGGCGATACAGACGGTTGTAGACCAGCCGGACCTGGCTTGTGGACAAGATGGGGGCTTCTCGCGGGGCCTCTCCCTCTTCTTGGGCCTCATCTCGACTGAGCTGCGCGAGCTGCTGGTTGAAGTTGTTGGTGACGCTGAGCCACTTGATGTCCGCACACAGGGGCAGTTGCAGCTCGTATCCAGTCTCAGACCTGATATGAAGACGCACAGACGCCGACAGACAGAGAGTGCACCTGTAGATTCCCCATTCCCCTGTGCGTGTGCCGACTTGACTCACTGTATGACGGAGAGCAGCAATTCCTCCTCGCTGGGCGACAGCAGCCGCTCAGACGAGCGGCGCCGCCTGCGGCCTTTGCCGGCCTCAGCCGTCTCTTGCTCTCCTTCCCCGTCGCCCTCCCCCTCTTGCGGCCCTTCGTGCTCTTCCTGCTGCTGCTGCTGCTGCTTGTCGCGCCTGTCCTTCCTCTTGCTCTTCTTAGGTCTGGCCGGGGGCGATACCCCGAGGATAGCAAGAGGGACAAATGCAGCGTCGTCATGGTTTGCCTGCTCTTCCTGCTTGGCGGCAAAGTATGCTGGCTGGAGCTCCCTGAACTTGTCCCGGACTGCGTCGGGGGTGCGATTGAGCTCCGACGCCAGGCCCTGGAGGACACATACATTACATAGGCGACACACACAGATCCATGACATGACTCGCCCATGGGTGTGAGTGATGCGCATGTGGTGCGTGTGCTTAGTGACGCACCTTCCAGTCCCTCTGGTATTTCCGCTGGAGGGAGAGCAAACTCGACACCTCGTCGGCACTCCACCGACCTGCACACAAATGGGCGCACATGATGCCAACGCAGAGAGAGGGATTCATCTGTGCTGGCGTGTGGAAGTGTCGGCGTTTTCGTTGTCCACTTGCCCTTTTTGATGCTGGGATTAGCTTTCTGCAGCATCCTCACAGCACGATTGCGCACCGAATGGGTCGTCCGGTGGGGAAAGTGACCGGCTGCATTTATTGCATCCAGACAGACAGACAACGAACGGGAGAGTGAGTGCTGGCCTTTGGAGGTTGTGTGTGCATTCCCGTCCCGTTGGCCCACCGACCCACCGACCCAGCTTGAGGAAGATGTTGGGCCCCTCGTCGAGCCGTTCATCAGCCTGCTCATTGTCCGCATCGCCCTTGACCTTTTTCTTGATGCTCTGCAAGGTCGACGTCACGAAATCGGCCCACGCCATCTGCTGCCTCTGCACAGAGCAGTGTGTAGTGTACACACATTGAGACCAGTAGGGTGTGTCTTTCTCGCGTAAACAAGTACAAGAACGTTCAGACCCACCTCTGCCTGTGCCTTGAACAGCCGCATCATGAAGGCCTCCTCATTCGCCGAAAACTTGCCCTGATGGCGCACATGACATGACACACATCGCATCCACGAGCTGCACGGCATGCATACGTGCTGCTTCTTCCATCTTCGTCAGATCATCCCGTCCAGTCAGTCGGTACCTCCCTACCCTGTAGAAAGTCGCTTCGCTCTTTTTGTGATCATACCACTCCCTCTCCACGGGGTTGTCCTCCACCACAAACTGCACAGGATCCACACACGTCACCTGAGGAGCTACAAGCTGCAGAGATAGACACGCGACACACACACAGACAGACAGACAGACACAGACCGGTCGTCGGAAGCTTTCAATGGGTGTTGCTGTGTTCTTACGTCTTCGCGAGTCAGTTTCTTGGTGCCTTTCTTGCCCTTCTCCAGCAGCTGGAGAGCGCCGTCTGTGCCTCCTGCCGCCTCGGATAGGTGGCGGGAAGACGATGACATCGATGAAGAAGCTAAGCACTGTCGTGTGATTCGATTCGAGGTTTTTTAGGAAGGGAAGCGCTCAGAGAGATGTCAAAGCGTGAGGGAATGCGAGCTCCTGTTAGCGAACATCGTGGCCGCCCAGGTTATATGGACTGTGTGGACGTCTTGCCATAAGCGAGCGCTAATTGTGATGAGAGTCACATGACGTGCAGCAAAGAAGCATGCATGCACTCGCCGCCCTGCAGTGCGGCTCGCTTCGTCCGAATGAATGCCTTGTGTGTTCGTGAGGACGCTCGAATGAATGACTGACTTGCCGCCCCAACTAATCACACGTCTCCCATCCATCCCATCCCATCCCATTCCCATCCCATTCCCATCCCATTCCCATCCCATTCCCATCCCATTCCCATCCCATTCCCATCCCATTCCCATCCATCTATCTACCCATCTATCTATCGGTGGTATCACTCGCTGTCCTGCAGCTCGGCCGCCTTGTCCTTCTTCTTTTTCTTCTTGGCGCCCTTCGGCAATTCCTCCTACACACACACACACGCACACAGGTTGAATGCAGTCAGTCATGTCCATCGGTCCGTCCCTCCTTTTCTTCTGTGTGTACCCACCGCGTCGTTGTTGAGTCCGTTGAGCTGTGCTGTGTGTAGCGGCTTCATGAATTGCGACTGCAGCCCTCCGCCCTTCTTAAAGGCACCGTCCTCACGCAACTTCTTGAACAGCTTGAGCGTCTCGTGGAACCGGCTCCCGCTCAACACACCATACTCGATGCAGTACCTGCAGGCGCCATACGCAGGCAACACACACACACACACACACGGGAATGTCCGTCTCTCTGTGGACAGCCAGGTTGGTGGGCTTCTGAGGATTGCAGCGTACTTGATGGCTATGAGGCTGGTGGGGTTCTCATCCAGCAGCGACTGGTAAAACGCACGTGTGCCGTCACCCTGAACATACACACAACACAGACAGACAGACAGACATGCACACATATATCTACATGTGCGCCAGCCGCTGTCGGTTCTCTTCTTGCATGTGTGTGTACGTACGTTTGGTGGCGTGATGTTCTTCTGTCCCTCTTTGAACGTCCGCCGCGCATCCCTGGGGTCGATGGCTGGCTCCTCGTCCTCCTCGTTGTTGTCATTGTCGCCGTCCTCACTGCCCTGCGCCTTCTTCTTCCTCCCCTTCGCCCCTCCCCCGCCCCCTCCCCTCTTGGCCGCCGCCTTGCCCCGCGGCGCACCCGCAGCCGCCTTGGGCTTGCTGGCCTTCTTGGCCTTCGGGGACACCTCGTCAGACACCTCCTTCTTGTTCTTCTTGGGCGGCATCAGCGGCTGCTCGTCGTCGTCGTCGTCGTCCTCGAACACCGCTGCTGCCACTGCCTGCACACGCGTCACAACACAGGCAGAGAAAGATAGACCTCGGTTGAAGCATCTGTTGGGTTCGTGTATCTCTTCGTCTCCCCTTCCGTGGTCTCTGTGCTCGTCATACCTTGGGCGCCGCGTTCTTGGCAGGTTTGTCGTCCTTGCCGTTGTCAGCGGGCGCCTCCCGTGGCTTGGCTGCCGCAGCAGCCGATGCGAACGCTGGTGGAGGAGGGGGAGGCTGGCGGCTTGGCGGTGGTGCGTCATCATCTTCGTCCTCGGAGTCGAAGATGCGGCGGCGCTTCCTCTTGCCGATGTCCTCGTCCTCACTGTCAGACATGATTCAAGCTGCAGCGGTTTCAGAGAGCGCGAAGCTGCCCTTGCGAGCTTGCGATTGCATTCTCATCGTTTCCCTTCGCCCCCCCTCGGCCCGCCATGAGGCTGGATCTCCCCTCTCATGCTGAACGAGTCATGCTGAATGCGTGAACGGTGACCTGTCCCTGATTCCATCGCCACGGCAGGGCCCCACAACTCCTAAGACTTGACCTCTACAATGGCCTCACGTGAGCGGCTGGAGCGTCTGTTTAGCGGCGGTGAGCGGCGGCTGGAGGTTCCTGGCATATTTGACACTGGATCGTCACCTGACACGTCAAGAGAGGCGACTCCAATGGGGCGAAGGGCCTCGACCCCGGCGCTGCCGAGGTTGCCCCGTGAGGACGAGGCCATGATGTTTGAACGCCTGGGTGAGCTGCTGAATGAGTCGTCCGCCTCCAACCTTAGGATTCGCGCCCTTGAAGAAAAGCTCGAGGAAGCAGAGGCGTCCAAAGAGGAGATGAAACTCAACCTTCGAGACGTGAGGAAGTTACGGGTCACAGAGTCAGTTCTGTATGCTGGTTTGTGTGTCCTCTGCAGCTTTCGGAAGAGCTGGCGGCTGTGCGTCGGCAGAAAGACTCACTTGAGCGATTCCTCACGCGCATCAAGGTGCACAAAGTAACGCAAGTATTCTTAGCGATGTTAATGTTCTGTCGTCAGGTTATTGACCCTGGCGAATCACACACGCGTCGCTCGAGCAAGGCTACGACTTCAGCAGCTCGCCGCGTATCGGTCATGCCTTACCACCTAGCAGGGGCGCCGCAAAGCAAAGATGGACGACTAAGCGTCGAGGAAGTCAGTCCAACAACAGGAGCTGTGCGAAGGCTGTCCTTACTGCCGCCCCAGCAGGCGTCGATACCCAAGCCCTTGGCGCCAGCAGTCGAGGCTGCCCCCCAGCCGCTCGAAGTACCCGAGCGGACTGAGGAGGCGCCTGCTGCTATCCCCGCCCCCGAGGAGCCGCCGAGAGAGGTGGAAGGACGGGAGGGAGAGGCTGTGCTTGAGCTGGAGATCAAACCAGAGGAGCATGAGGAAGAAGCATCCGAAGCAGGTAAGAAATGGCACACCCTAAAGCTGGCCGCATGAGAGGTGCGCTGTGGTGACCGTGTGCCATCTAGGAGAGGGCGAAGAGTGGCAGGTCGAAAGCAGGAGGCTGTCGGTAGCGTCGAGCACTGGCAGACTAGACTTTGAGTCCTTCAAAGGTGCAGACAGATACTCATGTTATAAAAAGCACCCCCATCCATGCATTTTCTCGCCTGTCATGCCCCACTCAGAATCGATGGACACGCTGACAGCGGAGTGCAAGTAATGTCTGGGCAGAAAGGCGAGCGGATGCTTTACTTGTGTCTCACCTGTTGATATATCGTGCCCTGCTGCAGGATGCTGCTCGATAGCAACGACAGCCTCTTCAAAGAGAGGCAGGATCTCAGCAAAATCGTTGCATACCTGCAGACAAGTAGGCGACACCCACTTATGGCTGCCCTGCCTCTCTCCCTCCCTTCCTTGCTTATCTTGTGCCGTGTCCCTTCAGCTCGTGAGCTTCTTCTGGAGAAAATCAGGATCGCCACGCTCAAGAATCAGGGCCTGTCGAAAAAGTGCGACATTCTGACGCAGAAGCTGATTGCTTGTGAGAGCGATGTCGTCGACAAGACCGGCGAGCGGCCGAGATACCTGAAACTCGAAGAGACAGAGATCGAGGCCATCAGGCAGGCGATGGGACTTCAGGTTCCCTCTACTCTCGTCCGGGGGGTGCTTGGCGGTGAGAGAGCGGAGGAGACGCACCCCCTGCACACCGCCCACAACGACATCAAGCGACTCAAGAAGGTCGTGCACGAGCAGAAGGAGCAGCTCAAGTCGCAGCGGAGTGAGCTGGAGGAGTTGCGAGAGAAATACGAGAAGAAGAGAGCAATGGAGAGCATCCTCTGCGCCCGGATTGCCAAGCTAAAGGCCGAGACTCTGACGGCACAGAGGATCGCCGTGGAGGCCACAGAACAAGTCAAGACAGTGCAGGTGCGCAAAGACAATGTGACCATGCACACTGACCGCGCGCGCACGTTCTGTCGTCTCTGCGAATGTGTGCCTGCAGCCTGCCCTTGAGATGGCCGCCACCAAGGGCCGAGAGTACCACAGGCGGTCGATTGCCGTCTTGGACCACTCGCGAGGGCTGGAGAATCGACTGACGGAGCTGGAGGAAAAGGTGGAGACGTTTGCCGAGGAGGAGGCAAACTACAAGAAACAAATCGAACAGCTCAAGAGCGTACTGTCCACGGTCAGTGAGCAAACGAAGGAGGAAACAATTGGTGACGCGCCGATCGGCCACTTTGCGGATTTATTGACGCCAGGTTGAGGACGAGAGGGGAAGGCTGCAGCAGGAAATGGATAAAATGGTCAACGAAATATCACCAATGAGGGTCAGCGAAAAAGGCACACGATGGGCACCCGCAAATATCTATCTGATGGTCATATCTTGCTTGTCACAGGCGCGGAAAGATGCGGAAATCTGGCGGTTGAAGGCCAGGGTCAAATCCATGGAGGTAAAGCGGCAGTCGGAAGTTGAGAGGTACACGGCCCCGGCATCGCCCGTCACGCCAAAGCAGATGGATATGATCAGGAAAAGCCTCAGCTTCATCACTGCATCATGCACGTACGTATAGGCGAGCGGAACAAGGCACGTAACATGTGGATCGCCTACAGAGAAATCCATGTGTGTGTTGTCTCGCAGTGAGATGGCCCGGAGGCAGAGGGTGTCGACGCGGGAGGCGCTGGCCGTCGAAGAGGCCGCCAAGGAAATGGAAGACAAAATGATACAGTGTGAGGATTCACAGGTGCATTGCGCAGCTGCTTGAATGGGCATAGTGACGCCTTGGGGCTCTGTCGCTTTGTCATTGCAGGTGAAGTTGAGGTGGGCGAGGCCGAACTGCAGACCATTGAGATTGAAAAGAAGATCGACAGACTTGTTGAAGAATACCGCGTAAGCAAACAGCCAGTCAAATAAACAAACAAACAAACAAACGAAGAAGAGAAAGAAGGAAGGAAGGAAAGAAACGAAGAAGGCAGATGAACTTTTCATGTCTCTCTTGCGGTCTGTCTGATGCGCACATGGTTCCTGCAGGAGTCAGAGGAGCAGCTGGAGCAGTCCAAGAGGCGCTTGAGTGACGCCTCCGACAAGATGAAAGTCGTGTACAAGCGCACATCGAGGGACTCTGTCGAAATGCAGGGGCTGATCCGCATGATCGAGGAGACACCAGAGACACCAGAATTGGAACCTATCGAGCGAAGGCCCGTCCGCCAAGAGATACAGGAGTGTTTGGCCCACCTTCAATCGACCAAGCCTCTTGAGCAGCAGGACATCGAAATCGAGAGGCGGCAAACGGCAGACCTCTCACCGCAACAACGAGCCAAAGGCAAGCCCAGCAAATCCCCGAAGCGGCAGCCCGAAGGCAGGGGCCCCAAGGGAGCCGTCGGCAAGAAGAAAGCCGCCATGCCGGAGGCGCCGGCTACACGGGGCAAGACGGCACCACCTGATGTGAGAATCAGGCGCTCTGGCAGCGACATTTGGGTGCCGCCCGGATCTTTCCGGGCGCCCATACTGCACCAGGTGGCTGGCCAGGTACGTGTCTTGAATTATGTAATGAAGGCAACTACTATGCGATCTGTGTTTGTCGCACGTGCAGGGTGTGGTGGATGCATCCTTCGGGAGCAGGATTCCCTTTCCGCGCAGCCCGACTGCGCCCCTCGTCGACAGCAGCAAGGTGGCGCCGAAGAAACCGACATTACCTTCAGCTCACCAGCCGGGACTCAAGGCACCATTACCCGCTTTCAGTAGCCGCACCTTCGTCCGTCCACCGCTGGCAGAGCCACACCCTAAAGCGCCGTGCACGATATGCTTTGGTCCGCAAGGGGAGCAGGATGACATCGACCAATCGGATGATGGCAGGATGGCCGACATCGGGGCGGAGCCGATGCATGTCCTTTTGCCGAGTGTGTCCTCGTCGACGCTATTTCCCACCTCCGGGACGCTACGCCGGGGCATGCCACCGCTAGGTCCTCGCAAGAGGTCGCTGTCTGCTGGCGCCAGCTGTCCTATCAGCAACTGTCGCGGCGACAACAGGGCGGCAGACGGCGGCAGAGCGAAGGCTGTTCAACTCCCGCTTCCTCTTCAGAATGGGCTTCGGGAGCAGCAGACGAGCTTCCCCACAGTAAATCAGCACATCAACAGACGAGCTGATTCAAATGCATGGTGGGCTGCGTGTTGATGTATGCGCTGATCAATGATGGATCAGGACAGGAGCACTTTGGGTGACACTCGGTGCTGCATATCTATGAGTCCTCGGAAGAATGAGGCTCCGTCGTCAGCAACGCGACCCCCTACCACCACCACTCAATGGCTTCGTCCTACCGAATCGCCTGCTACGCTACCACCACATGTATTATGGACAAACACGCGAAGATCATTTTGCGATTTACCTCTTGTAATATGTCTTGCGATGTTTTGTCTGGCTCCCTGCCCGCAGGTCTGTGTTCGTCCGCCTGCCAATGTCATATCACGTCGCATGTTCACGCTGGCGACTTATCGGTCGTTTCCTGTCTTACCAGGTCCGAACGCGGAGCAGAACAGACCAAAGATATTGGAGACAATAAAGACACTTCCTTTTTGCTTTTCAGGTCGGCCTCGTGGTGGACCAGGTCAGTCACATGTCATGTACGCAAAGTTATTGTGATGGATGCATCAATTGTGTGATTTGGTGTCTCAGACGTCCGTGCCGTCCATCCGACGCTAGGCTATCATCGTGCCTTCGACTGGACAAGCATCACGCCTCACTGTGCACCGTCACATCAACCTAAAGCGGTGCTGGCCTACGCTTCGCCTCGCATTTCCTCTCCGCTCCCGCCCTGTGGGAGTCTGTAGATTCTCCGGCACTGCGTCTTTTGCTTGGCTTTGGCCTTGATCAGAGCTGTATATCAATTGCAAAATGTGTTCTGAGTCGTGAATCATCATTGACTATCGACAAATAGGTCCATTCAATTGTGTGTCTATTGAGTGAAGCTAACGCATCGTTCCGAACACTTCACCGGTTGCAAATTGAAGCCATTTGAGTCAGCCATGTTCACGACAAGGCAAGGTCTGGGCGAAAAGCTGGATGGCGAGCTCAAAAGCTAGCGATCTGCCGGAGAAGATAGCTTTCGCCGCAGAAAGCCATCTGCCGCTGCAGAAATACACCTCTCCACTCAAAAAGACAGCTTTCTATTGCAGAAAGCCAGATGGTCCATCAAAAAGACAGCTTTCTGTACAGAAAGTCAGCTTTCCGTACAGAAAGACAGCTTTCTGCCACAGAAAGACAGCTTTCTGCACAGAAAGACAGCTCGCTGAGGCAGAAAGACAGCTTTCTGGCGGGCGTGACATCTTTCCGGCGGGCGTGACAGCTTTCCGGCGGGCGTGACATCTTTCCGATGGGCGTGACAGCTTTCCGATCGGCGTGACAGCACGCTGCCTCTCGTGGCACCAGCTGCTTCAATGCACCACACTCACACGCACACAGACACACATTGAGGCGTCAACTGGCCATGGAGGGTCTCTGCAAGCCCTCCATTCACATGATCCATCCATGGCCAACCAACACACACGGGTGGGGGACGCACTCATTCACACACACACACACACACACAGACAGTCACTCAGACAGTCACTCACTCAGACACCCACACGCACGTGCAAGCCACTATCTACACTATCTACACACGTCGCGTCTCGTCCGTCTGAGCCGCGGGCGGTACAGTGTGTGTCTCGCACAGGCGGGGCTGCGGCAGCTCTGAGTCGGGCACCCACAACTCGCACTACGAAAACGAGACGTGAGATAGGACTGTCGTTGTGTGGTGGTGATGGGCTGACCGACCGATGCTGTGTCGTGAGGCTCTTGCTGCATCCATCGATCCACAGAGACACAGCCATGCATCCACCTCGAGTGCGCGTGTGATTTATTGGCTGGCTTACCCGATGCCGATCGTGCCGAAGTAAGTCGCCAGACGCTGCACACAAAGACACAAAAACACAAACCATTCTCTTTTGTGTCTCATCCGCACATGGTCCCTCTCTGTCTGCCGGTCGATGCGCGTCAGCGGCACTCTGATCAGACCGTCAGCAGACACACATGCACTGCAACAGAAGGCGAGTGCATCGATTGACCCAGAGGCGTCAGTCAATCAATCAAGCAATACGAATACCTATGACATATGTGTATCCAACAGTGATCGATCAGTCAATCAGTCAATCAGTCGGCCAGCCAGTCGGACAACAAAGCCGAGAGAGAAAGAAAGAGAGATTTCAAACTCCACCCCTTTGCTCAAGAGGTAATTCGCTCCACAAAAGCAGGACAGGCACAAAACAGTCACAAACAATAAACACCACAAGCGCCATGAATGCCACAAAAAGAGAGCATTCAGTCATACAAACAAAACCTATGTGTGTGTCTGTCTGCCTGTCTGTCTGCATTTGGTTGTTCATGCCGACCGAGGCCGCGTCTGAGTTCGTGCGTATCGCTGATGGCATGCAATTGAATCGTCAGACCACAGTCAGCGAGACACGAAAAGCGTACTTCCACTCATGCATGGATGGATGGGCGGATGCGTCTGTGTGCCGATCAGACCAGCTGTTTCCACTGACCGAGAAGGTGAAGTCTACATGCCATCGCACTTCTTGCAAAGGAACTTGCACATCACAATAAGTGCAGCCATTCAAAATGTCGTGAGTTGAGAAGAGAGCGTGCATGGTCAGAGAGCTCTCAGGTTGTCGCTGCCACATCGCATCGTCCCACCCCTGTTGCCCACTGTGTATTATCGCGACAGGGTGTGGGCGTGTGGGCGTGTGGGTGTCTGAGTGAGTGACTGTCTGAGTGACTGTCTGTGTGTGTGTGTGTGTGAATGAGTGCGTCCCCCACCCGTGTGTGTTGGTTGGCCATGGATGGATCATGTGAATGGAGGGCTTGCAGAGACCCTCCATGGCCAGTTGACGCCTCAATGTGTGTCTGTGTGCGTGTGAGTGTGGTGCATTGAAGCAGCTGGTGCCACGAGAGGCAGCGTGCTGTCACGCCGATCGGAAAGATGCCACGCCCATCGGAAAGATGTCACGCCCGCCGGAAAGCTGCCACGCCCGCCGGAAAGATGTCACGCCCGCCGGAAAGCTGTCTTTCTGCCTCAGCGAGCTGTCTTTCTGTGCGGAAAGCTGTCTTTCTGTGGCAGAAAGCTGTCTTTTTGATGGACCATCTGGCTTTCTGCAATGGGAAGCTGTCTTTTTGAGTGGAGAGGTGTATTTCTGCAGCGGCAGATGGCTTTTTGCGGCGAAAGCTATCTTCTCCGGCAGATCGCTAGCTTTTGAGCTCGCCATCCAGCTTTTCGCCCAGACCTTGCCTTGTCGTGTCGAATTGCATTCAGGGTCTATCCATTTGTGATCGGATAGAAACAAGCAAAAGCTGGCAATCCCTTCCGTGTTCGTGCAGCCCCCTCTCCGTGTTGCATGTTCGAACGGGGCGAACGCGTGGCGAGTCCCGACAGCCCAACGGAGGAGGGAACTTCATGCTTGACACACTCGCCTTCCTCCTTCGCCACACTGCGAGTTCCATGATTTGGGGCCGAGCTAGGGATGGAGATGTCACCGAGGAACAGCCCTTGTCCTCTCTCGCCGGCCAGGGGGATAGCCGCCTTGAAGCCCTGTCAGGTGCACGGCGACAATGAGCCAGATCTGGATGTGATCAGCATCTCATCCAACCAGCAAGGGACTGACCCCATCGAAGGAGGCAACAGGCGAGCCGTTGGTGACCACATCGTGCTCACACCTTCCCATATCGGCCACCAGGACGACACACAGGCAGGGGACAGCACCGCGCAACCGCAAGACACCGTTGTTGATCATGCTGTCAAGCAGCCCCCCGGCCAGCCCAGCGGCACCCAAGATGACGAAGAACACAGTGCGGGGCAACCACCTTTCTATCGAACAGCACTCTCGTCGACGAGCACCGCCTTCGCATTGACAGACAAGGTCGCCGCTGCGGAGAAAAATCATCAGCACAGTCAGCCGTGGACCAGAGACACGTGCTGCCGGGTCAGCGCCACAAGGCAGCCCCATAAGGATCGCATGAGTGATTACAGAGGAGATGCCGAGGAAAACGTCGACACGAGAGAATCCTCTCGTCGTCAGTTGCGTTGTGAGGAGCGTGCAATAACGGAGTCGGTACGGGGCTTCAGGTATGATACCGAATTACCTCACAAATGAACGCCTCTCTATTCTCCCTGCCTGTCCACGGAGGCTGCAGGATACGAAGCGGCATACGAAGAACATCCAACAATTCTCGAGTACAAGACGATAAGCCATCCTGACCGCAGCACAACAGAAGTACTTGTCGGCGCACATTTCAGCCCAGAGCCGCTTAAGACGACCATCAAGCGAGTCCTTCGAGTTATTCTATGGCAGCTGACGGCGGCCGTCGGCGTTAGTCTGTGTATTGTTGCACTGTTGCTAATTTGCGTCTATCCGTGCAAAGCGACGGGTGTCCTGGGGATCGCTTTTGACGTCGTGCGTCGAATTCTGGTTGCCTTCACTATGTTCCTGGTGGTTGTGCACGTCACCGATGGATGCAGCGGGAGGAGGATCGTGTCTCGGCTGTGGAGATATCGGCTTTTATTCAGTATTCCAATGATCGTGTCCATTCTCATTTCTGTGGCCAATCACGCCCCCTGGGATGTCATGTGGAGGCGAAATAATATCATCGCTCCGGTTTGGTGGTGCTGCCTTGTTGGGACCCCATATGCATACTTTCGGAGCTTCGCTGGGGCCATCGGAATGAAAAACAAACAGGATTACGCCCTGAAGCTTGCAAATGTCTCCTGTCTCGGGGAGGGTTTGGGCCAATTATATCTGCAATATATCTTGCCAGT